GCTCCTCCATATCCCTTCCATCGAGCCCTAGCCTTCTCGAGGCTCCAGGGAGAGGAGAGAGAGGGGAGAGGGGAGAGAGGGGAGAGAGGAGAGAGAGGAGAGAGAGGGGAGAGAGGGGAGAGAGGGGAGAGAGGGGAGAGAGGGTAAATGGCTCAAGGATTAAAAAAAAAAATTCTGCTCAGAGTCTCACTCAAGTTGACTACAAGGCTGCATGAACTCTTATGCCACCATCAGAGAGGGGTTGACACTAACAGGCCAATAACCATTTAGAGGACATTTAGAAGAGCTCACTGCAGTGTGAAGCATCAGCTAGATAAACAGCTTCACACGCTGTAAAAAGGGAGCAATCCAACTCTGCTCACTGGATACTGCTGGCTACTGCTGCAGGCAACCTTGTCCCCACTGCCCCCAGCAACTGATCCAAGGCATGTACAGTTGCATAGAGAAGTTCGTTAAACTGGCTAAAAGCTTCTGGTTTTGGTAAGACAAACTTTTTTGACCAGTCATACCAATTGATTTATCCTGCAGCCATGAAATTTCTTGATTCCAGCCCAGGTAGATAATTGGGAAGGATGGGGAATAGAACTGCCTTTTTGAGAGCTGTTTAGATGCTTGACTGCCTTGATGACAATGTCCAACAAACCATCTGGAATAATTTTTTTCTTTGGTTACTCTCTCCAGATTATGTTTATTTCATAAGACAACATGGCTGAGTATTATATTTTTTCCCTACTGTGTGTCCTTGCACTCAAACTGAAAACAAAGCAAATGACCAACACTCATGCACTGACATATATGAAGAATTTCCACTAGAGGTTTGCAGGGTTAGCAAGATCAAGTGTTCTCAAAAAAGATCAACTCATTCAGTGAGTTGTATGTCAATTTAACATCTCCTACAGAATGACTTACTTTACAACAGAACAATGTTATCACACCTCTATTTTCCAGCTTTCAAACAACTTCTCCCAGAGATAAAGATCAACAGTTTTCACATATCAAACTCCTTTCAAATATTTTAAAAGATACACATCACTATGGCAACACTGTCATTTTTAAAGAAACGTTTGTTACAATAAACTAAGCACTGTTCTATATAATGCAATACAGAATTTGAAAAAGTAGCACAGGTCAACAGAGGTTAAGAAATTAAATTGTTTGTACTGATTCTCAGCTAGTATTTGTGTTAAAATTGTCTTTGGAAGGTGTTTCGCAGATATTCAAGCAGAGCTGTCATGGCCACAGAAGTCTGCAGATGTCCTAGGTTCTTTTGTTGTTGTTGTGTGTTGGTTTAGGTTTTGGTTTTGTTGTTTGTTTTTTTTTTTTTAGATAATGTGTAACATCTCTCTCTTACTGATTAATAAGATGTTGCTGTAGGAATTTTAAAAAATTACACTAAGCTTACTCTGGGATACATCACAGATAAGCTATACAGGAAATAATATTTCTGGAATACTGCAAATAATGTAGACACTTTTTTGGTCAGAAGGCATGGGGTGATGGAAGCATGACTGATATTTTTGAGCAAACTTCCCTGTATATCATAAACACATAAGAACATGGGTCATTAGAGACTACACTTGTTACTTGACCATTATGACAGATATTCTATAAAAGGGACGCTTAGTATCTATAAAATTGACCCTTTCCTTATGTAAATTATGTGATACCATCTTCTCCAGAAATGGCTACATTTTGCATGAAAGTAAACAAATCTATAGTATTTACAACTGTGGCACAAATCAAGCAATGATCAGACTTTGGGTGAAATTTAAGCTTACATTTTGCAGTTTTCTTTAACAACTAGACTAGTAAAGTTCTTCAGCTGTAATACGTGGACTAATAGACACTCGTTTCCACTGTCATGCCTGGAAAACAAATTTTTTGTGTTAGTCATCAAGCATCAATACTTTACTTAAGAGATAGAGATGAAAGACTAAAAAGATTTAAAGAATGTGCTGTAAAACAAATCTCTTACACAAATCAGTTTGAATCAAAAGCAATTGCAGATATCACACTCTGGTAACAGAACATTATTAATAATGTTAGCTACAGTAACAAAGTTATCAGAACTAAGAGAATGAAACATTCAGTTTGAAAAGAATAACATTCCTTACTGTGATAGTGAACAGGTTTTAAAAAAAATATATTCCTTGGTTTAAACAGTTACACCACATGCATATGTGTGTACACACATGTGTAATAATGTATCAGTTACATTAGACACATCTTGTGCATTATTTTCGTGAGTTAATGAAAATAATAATAATAATTTTAAAAAATCTACTCTTCCGCATCAGCATGAATTTTGAAACTGAGCTAACAAACCTGGTTGAGATTGGGAATTAATTTTCCAAGGGGTAGAGACAATTCTGGAGGGCTGTCTAAGGTAAGACATCCTGACTTGCACCGCTATAATCTGCCCTTTCCCACACTATTCCACTACTAAAAATAGCATGCTCTAAGCACAGGATTTCAAAGCTGTATTTAGCAACTGTATTTGTATTTGTGTCTCTTCACCTGTGACGTTCCTAAAGTAATCCTCCTTTACATGGCATAAAAAGATGTCACTCATAGCCCTGTACCCATACTCATACCGAATGGACAATGAAAATAAATGCTACTGAAAGAAGTAATGAAGGCCCTTTTGTCAGCCAGCATTGAAAGGACACTAAATAAACTGTTGTTAAGGCACATCCACAGCACAAAGTGGCATGTGACTGACTAATCTGTACATCCACTAAACTTTGGCTGTCAGCTCAGAACTTCTTAAAAACATCCACTGCAATTTAGTTTATTAAAAACCTAAACTCCAAAACCCAGGAAAGTAGCAAGCAATTCCTGCTGAGTTGACAGAGAGAAAGAGGAGTAACTACTCACAGAAATCCAACATGTATTTGTGGTTCTTCATTACTGGCAGCATCACCATAAACAGGCTCTTCCAGATCTTCGTTCCTGCAGGAACAGAAAGTACTGTAAACTACATACTGATCTAAGCTGTTAAAACATAATGAAATGAACATTTATTTTGTGATTTGTGGATATAAGCAATTGTTTGGTAATACAGAAGGGACTAGTAATATAGAAGGAACTGAGGTATTTATTTAATAACACAACAGTAGTAGCAATTCACAATTTAAAAAATTGAGTTATTAGAATACCTCTTTCAAGGTATATAGATTATTTTAATATTTATTCTGTCTCCCATTCCTCTTTACCATCCTCAAAACCTTATTGCCTTTTCAGTTACTGCCTATTGTGTTAAAACAATTGTATAAAGTAACATGTCTTTACCCAGCCTTCCATCATTTGGTCAATCTGCACATTTTTAAGTATTCAGCAGTTCATGTATTTCTTCCTTGCAGTTATGCTTCCATCACATGCTACATAGAATTGTAAGTCACACTGTATAATTTTATTTTGCTACAGACGACTGAAATAAACCTACTGATTTATGACTAATAAGCTGAGGAAACGATCTCTGAAGGGAGAAGTATATGGTGTTAAGATGTTAAGAGACAATAAAGCAAAAGGGACTTGGCATTGCAAAGATGACAGTGGAACTGGATGTAAAAAGCTTCTTTCCTTTAAAACATGCAACCTAATATTTTTATGTTATTAAGAACTACCAATTTTGAAAGCATATTCAGAAATTTACAACAAATTCTTTTGGACCATGTGGTAAAACAGGAATATTTCCAGCTTACTATGAATTTATACACCTGACCTTTTGCTTAAAGCTTCAAACACGCCACTGTCACTAGCCAGTGAATGATCTGAGAGACATGCTGAAACTCGCCTGGCTCTCCTCTCCAATCTTCTACCACTGTCACCACGCAGAGTTACAGCTGTCACAAAGAAAAAAGTAAAGACAACATCAGCTCAAGAAAATCTCTTAAAAATTAAACAAAAAATATTTATTGTATCAAAACTAGCAGCAAAACGGCACAAACACAGTTCACTATTTTTTCATCTAAGTTAAAAACCTAGAACACAATTGACCAGAGATGAACTGTGGGAGAATTAAGGAAGGAAGTTTGTGGCTAATTTCTCTCTGACAAGACTAAGGATAAACCAATTGCATTGTTATTAAATGTTTTTCTGGTAGAATAATCCCTCCTGGAGGAAGAGTTACATTAATTCAACATATGTACACATGATATCCTAAACTTTTAAGATTTACCTACTGAATATACAATAGGTTGAAAACAAACACAGAGACTAATTCTTTTAAGAAGTTATCTGATAACACAATGTAAGGTTTTGTTCTCATTTGTTTCCTAATACAAAGTCCCAAAGCAGACTGTTTATACCATCACATAATAGCAGCTTTTATTTACAGTCTGAAAGGCATTATCAAAAAGAATCAGCACTTTCCAACTCACTCAGACCACTGTTTTTTCAAATTCTTGAAGAATTACTCTAAAAACTGACTGTGGGAGGAGGAAGAAATATTGAACCCCCTCATTCCACCCTTCTCTGAATCACCAGCAACACCGTAAATAACTCAGCAATCATTTCATGTTGTAAGTGTATCAGAAAAAAAATCATATATCAAGTTTTGCACAGACAAGTAGGTATAGCAGCTACTAATCCTTTGAAGTGCATGCACAAGTGGTAATGCTCAAGAATTACATAGGTAAGGTTTGAACACTTCAACGACAGCTCCTAATGGAGGTTGTTGAATTTCAAGTCCTGGAGAGAACCAGACTTGTGGAAGTGCGGTTTCTTCACTGTGTAGTGAAGAATTTTTACCAACTTTCCTGTCTTTTGCTTAAGGCTCAATGACTGTCCTCAAAGCAGAAAATCAATGGCAAAAAGATGTCACTTTGGAAGTAGAGAAAGCATCTTATTTGCTTCTACTCGTGCTCAGAAACTTACGACAGCATGGAAGTATCAAAAGTTTCAGCAGACAGCATTTGGAGTAACAGCAGCACAGTGCACACTGCAGGGGAGACGAGCACCAGCTGACATTTACAGCTTACTGTGCCCAACTAAGGACGAAACATGTCTTACTCAAAGTAACAACTTGTTAAGTACCTCTGTTACACATTATCTTAAGGCATCAAATATAAAATTCTGGTACTCAATCAGTTTAAGTTTCCTTCAGCAGAACAACGCCAGCCCGTGGCCTGAGATGCACCTGCAGAGCCCAGCTGATGTACAGACAGTGAGCACCGGACTCATCTCACCTCCCACCCAAGCACCACCAAGACAGGACATCAGGAAGCTTGATAAAAGTCCCCCAAATTAACACAACCACACCACTGTTGTCAACAGAAGTGTCTGACTAAGGTTAACTTTAACCCACGTGGGACTAGCAGACAGGATGCACTGAGCCCAGCAGTTCTGTGCCAGCACGAGGTACATTCCTGTTATCAGGCCATCAACAGTACAAAATCCCAAAAGATGTTCCAAAAACCACAGGGTCCTGTTTGGAGCTAAGATTTCTGTTTATCAGCAGTACAGTTCTCTGTACCCCATAAGTAGCCCTATGGACCCCCCCTCCAAATTCAATGTAGGATTTTGTTATCTTCAACTATGCAGGAAATTTATCTGCTGACGAGGAACAGCTCAATCTGCATTTCTCTCTGTGCCTGGACAAAGAGTCACCCTTCCCCCACACCTCCAATTACAGCATCCCACCCTTACTGTACATCACATGTCATACAGTGTTACTCCTGTCATCCTCACCACAAATGAGAGCTAAATTCAAGGTAGTTCACAGAAAGCAAGGAAGCTGTATTTGAACCACTCTCCTCCATATTACTTGTAGAAAGTGGGGAGCTTGTTTTTCTGGTGGTTGTTTTTTGTTTTTCTTGGTTGGGTTGGTTTGGGATTTTTTTTTATTTTTTTATTTGGTGAGCCCATCTCTTAGTTCTGTCACTGGTATCTATGCAGAATCAAAACTGTCACTCTGTAGAGACATCTTTTAATATAAAAGTTTCCCAATAATTTTACCTCACTGGGAAGTGGCTGAACTTCACAAAAGTATATATATTTTGTGTGAAAGTGCTTCTGTAATTTATGTACTAACTTCAACAAGCTACACTAGGATGACTTTTTTTTGTAAATAAGCCTTTGGCTCAACCCTGTATGTGAACACTGTTAGATGTAATGGATGAAAAAACCTCCAGAGGGGTCACGTTCCCAATTTGTCCAGAAGGAAAAATTGGTTTGAAGCACCAATATAATGTCATGAAAAACTGACGTGTTAAAACAATGTTGTAACTTGACAATGATCTGCTCACTGCCTGCAGGCCATGGAAGCATCTGATAACATCTGGTCAATCCCAGCAAATCTGAGAGAAATGCAAACACTAAAATGTGCCCTTGACTAGGAAAAAAGTCAGCAGGAAAAATTGGTCAAGACAACAGACGCATCCAAGGTTTAGCACAGGTTACTGACCTTCCAATACTGGAAGCTAAAAAATTGTTTTAAAATAAAGTTTCTAAGATAGACACAATTGCCTTTCATTATCTTATTTAAATAACAAAATCAGTTAACAATAGCTATAAATTTCCAGAACTACTGGGTGCCAAAGCTTGATAAACATGACTGTCCTGATTAAAATAATATTCTCAGGTCTCATTACTTGAAAAAGTGAACTTCAAAGGAAATTTTGATGTCCAAGATTTAATTAGCTAAAAAAATACATAAATAAATCTAGAGCATTTTTCCCAAGCTTAGGAGACCACAAATACTCACATCAGCTCAAAATGCACTAATAAGAGTCGAACAATCTCATAAAAACTAAATCACAGACACAAACAAACTTTACCTACCGTGACACTGCCAGGCATTACTACGATATAATAAAGCTAAGGCTTGCAGAATACTTCTTCCAGGAATTTAACTACAGCCATGAATTGAGCCATTTAGTTGACATAACAAAACTTAAGTATGCCATAATGATTAAACAGGTACAGCACAATATCAAACACACCCATCAAACAAACCCAAATTTAGCAAAATCTCCCGTTTCTTCACATGCAACTCAAAAAAAAATAATTCAAACCCCAAAACAACCACTGCTAACATTTCACACAGAAAAACACACTGGGAATTACAGGCAAAAACAGCACAATAAGTAATTCAGGTTCACTTACAGTGAATTTTTCTGTTGTGCCGCATGAGAAACAAGAAAATGAAAAGCACACAATGATAAATCATCTTTCAGATCTATAACAATATTTTGCAAACAAGAGATTATGTAGGCATTATTAGCATTTGAAGAGTTATTTTAGGATAGAGAGGGAGAGGTAGATAAAATATTAAAGCCCAGTATTTTATTAACATGTTTCCTCCCACTCTCAGCTTTATAAATACGGTGGATTTAATCTGTCAGGCATATTCCCTCCACTCACACATGCTAACGTATTTTACAGTATGTCCCCAAGACAGATGCAGAACAGTAACTGCCCATCAGCAACTGATGATCAAAATTGCAGTTCCTGAAGAACTCCTTGAACTTGCTCAAGTGCTGCTTCACTGCAAAGTATGTGTAAATTTATTCAGTGTTAACTCTCCCGGCCTCCAGATTTTGCAAAAATTACCTTATGTTTTGTCTAGTGAAGGAACAGGCAAAAGATTTGTCCCGCGTTGAGACTTCCAGGTTTTCCAGCGTCGCATTATGCTACCAGACCATTGGGTGGCAGCAGCAAAGCACACTGCACAGTGAAAACCAAACACACACACACCCACCCACCCACCCCACACACACATCTGGGGGTTCCCACACTGAGATATATACTAAGCCTGATGGTCCATCAAATTCTTCAAGAAAAGAGTACAAAACCAAAATAACTTCGAAACTTCCAACTGTACTTGCAAACAACGGTATGACAATTGCAAACAGACCAGCTAGTGAGTATGGGGTTTAAAGTAGTCATAACTCTAGCCAAAATTGGAAAGGTTAAACAAATTTTCCTTGAGCAATTGTTTTCAAATTCGAATGTTTAAAAAAAAATAAACAAACCCAAACCAGCTACTCAAAAAAAAGACAGCATGGATACCTTTTAATTATACATTCTTCCTTAAAAGGCATCACAAAGCACTCTGTTGTACACAGAAAAAAAGTTGTAACCCCTGGATCAGGATCAGGAGCTGGATATCACAGCAGTGACATGTAGCACAGGCATGTTCTGCCAGACATTTTCAGAGAAACATGAAATGTGTGGAAACGTGACAGAGAACAAGAAAACCAAAGCAGTTATTTGACCCTCATCCTATTTCTCCCTGGGCCCTCAGACCAGGCCTTCACTTCTAGGAAACACATATGAGCTAAAAATGAACTACTAACATAGTTTCACCTACCACAATGGGTGAAGACATACTGCGGTCTGATCTGAGGTTTAAAGAAAGCCTCAGGAAGCCTCTTCATGGCACTAATTTAAGCACAAGCTTACATGTTGGTCTCTGGAATTCTGTTTATTTTGGTCTGAAGGCTGCAATATGGGCACTAGAAATGTTTACATCTAGTAAATGTAAATTCTGCAGCAGTATCTTCAGGCAATGCTAGCTGCATTAAGAAAAATAGGTGAGTCTAGACTCAAATGCTGTTTCAGCAATACTGTTTTTTTAGCACAGTGGTGACATTTTCTCTTCAAAAATAAAAAGCTGAAAGCTTTTCCTTAGACACTGTCAATGTTTCTCCTCATTATCACTTGACAAATAAGATTTTGGTAGGATAACATGATACACTCTTTAGTTATATTTCACATTACTCCTGATGTTGTAAGTCCTGAATGCAACATTCCAAGCAATTGCTAACATAAAATTCTTGATACAGAAATGGGATGGAATTTACAATTTTTAATATTAAAAATATTATCCAAAAGCCTTTCTCTACTGGTATGGTTTTATTAGAAATACAAGCAAGCCAACACCATCATGAAGTAGAATACTCTCTCTCATTTTGACAGCAGTTCTTCATTTGATTGATGAAAACAGGAAAAGAAATTTCTCGTATGCCTGTATGCTCAGGTTTTTAAATTTCTTTTGTTCTTTACAAAGGATTCTGTTTCCTCTTTTGATCTAATTTATGTTTCTCACCTGTAGTGCCTCAGAAGCTTCCACCAAGGAAAGCTAAAGCAAGTCCATAAACTTCATAGTCAAGCAGGAAAAGAAAAGTCAACAGTATTTGTGCCGTGGTAACTGCACACATTGCTCCTCTGCAACCACAGAGCACCCATTCTCCCAGACAACCACTCACGTGGATCCTTAGCTTCTCACACACCCCCTACAAAAGACTCTCCTTGGCTGACGAAGCACTCTACTCACAAGCACAGTGCACCATGCACTCATGACTTCCATGCACTGTGGCTTCTGCTCCATTGCAGAACTCAGACATGGGAACCTGGTCTGGGGTGTGTATGAATTCAGCATGGAGTCAGTCAGCCTTCAAGCACTGCTGGCAGCATCACCTCATGCCTGGTGTTGTGGTTGGTGGGGGAGGGGTGTAGGTGGTTTGGGGGTTTTTTTCCTATCTCCCCTGGGTTTGTGTTGCTCTGTATTATTAGAATAATGGCAACATGGGCACAACTGGGGGCCTCAGAAGTCACTAAATCATGCTTTTTTTTTTTTTTACTAATTGCCAATCTAAGCCAAAATATTTATTCCTTTGTGCACTACCCTCCAAAGAATGTCTGTATTTCATTCCCTTTCTTCCACCCAATTCACCACTATTTTAACATCTATTTACAAGGATTTCTCTACTCTTTCAGCCCTATGATCTGAATCTAAAGTTTGGGGTTTTGTTGGGGTGGTTTTGGGTTGCTTGCTTTTTTTTTTTTTTCAGTTAACACCTACCATGTAATTTTTAACTGATGGAAGTAAAATAAGCCAAACTGAGGAACAATCTCTGCTGTGCTAGTATACTTAGGTCTGCATGACATTTTCTGTAACAACGTGACAAAACAATAATGTCCAGAAACTCACCTCCACCTGTTTGGACAGCAGCCAGCTGTGGTCCCAATTCTCGCAGTCCTTCATTGTCCACAGGGTAAGTGGATGTCTGAGATGAGCTTGTTCCTTGTGTATCATCGTCACCTAGCGCTGCGGTCTGAGGCCTGAGCATTTCCAGGGCTCCTATGCTTGCCATCTCCTCAAAGCCTTCTGACATCTGAGCCAAGGGAGAATCTCGAGATGCAGAGAGAAATGGGGTATCAAGGGGCGAGCTTGGAGGGGACAATGATGACAAGGAGGACCGTGATGACAGGGATGCCAGGGACTGTGGAGTATCCAGAGACCTCCGCTGCTTATTGAAATTCGAGTGTCCAGTGGGATCAGCATATGGTACATCCTTTGTGAGAGACTCAAAAGGAATGATGTCAAAGCGTAAATGCTGCCCGTAGTCTGTAACACTGTCTGATTTGTCATACTGCGGAAGGCCATAGATGTCCGTAAAGCTGACTGAGCTGAGGGAGCCTCTGCTGGAGGCCAAGGATCCTCGACTGGAGGCCAAGGATCCCCTGCTGCTGCCAGACGACATTGTGAGGGTGCTAGCCGACAGACTATGGCAGGCAAAGAAAGAGAAAACAAAGAAGGCCCATTCAAATATAATCAGGAACACCAGTGCAGACATAAAAACCTCAATCCAGGTTACACACAGTACAGTTGACACAGAGAGATGATTTGGCATTTTAAGATCTAGCTCATGTCTCTTGCCCTGGTCTCAAAAACATTACTGGAACAGTGCAAGTGGCAACCAAATCAGGACCAAGTTCCTGAAGACAAATGGTCCAACAAGACAAGCCTACCCTTTCCTCCAACATGTTAGCAGCCACACTTTAAGCCAGAGCAGGATCTGGATCACTGGACTCGGTGTAAAGCCAGGAAGGGTAGATTACCATGATCCAGTCTGAAGTTACGTTAATGATGGGTCATAAACATATCAGGGATAAGAAGTGCAAAGGTATTTGGAAAGTCCTAACAAACTGCTGTGTAAGCCTCACCCTCAGAGGTTTTTCCAGTGCAAAATAAAAAGATTTTAAGATAAATTCTATTCCAGTTCGTTTTACCACTCTCAGATAGTTAGGGAGAGAAGAATGTAAGTGATGGGAGAGAGATGAAGTGAGAGACAGCAGGAAGTGAGCTTTTGATGTTGGCGTGGTGTTGAGCTGAGGAATCCCCAAGAGCTGCATCTAAAAAGGCAGCTGCGAGTGTGAATATGTAAAACATTCTGGGCTTCTGTGTGGGTCTTAGCACATTCTCATATTTAAATGGCAAAATTTTGTCATCTCACCAGGGATCAAAACCCTCTCCTTTGGAAAAGGTATTAAAATTAAAACCTCACAGAACTTAAAAGAATATTATCTTCAAAGTAGTAAAATTGTAACAATATTAGAATGGGTTTTAAGTGCACATCATCCTTTAAAAAGATAATATATAAAATTCCCAAATATACATAATAATCTAGCCCAGGTAGCCATCACTAATGCTATTTATAAAACCGCCCAAATCATCATATTCCATAGACCGAACTGTATAAATTTAGTAAAAAATTGATTTACTTGGCACACATACATAAAAGTATTAAAAGGTAAACTTTAGGGATTATTAATATTCTTCTCTGCTGCTGCTAAACTTCAAAACCTGCTGGTTTTACCTAACTCACCTTTTTAACTGGGAGTGTAAATACGAGGTTAAACGTGTAGCTTCTTCTAGTTGCATAAGCAAACAATTTCTCTTTTCCTGTAACAGTATCCTATAATTGAACAGATACATATTACTATTTTTCTTCATTACAGTAGTGCTCAAGAAGTGCTAGGAGCTTTGCCAGTACAGAAAAATATTGCATCTCAGTCTGGAATATAAAAATAAGTTTCACTGTTTAATGAAATGTTTTAAGTTACGCAGCTCATATGCAATGATGGTAATTCCAGCAAGAACACAAGAACCAAGACTCCAGCAGAATTCCCAGACAAGAAAAGTAATTGAGGCACAATGTAAGAGTCATGATGCTGAAAATACATTGCAGCAATTAGCAAAGTCATAAAAAGTCCTAGGTAAAAACATCAGACTGTACAAAGTATTTTTTTCCCCTTACATCAACCTGATTGTGCCAGTAAAATACAGAGAACTACTATGACTTTCATCTCCTTGGCAGGAAAAAAAAAATATTCCAAATAGCCCTATTATCCAAGCTAATTAGTGTCAAATTTCAAAGATCAAAAAAAAAATTTTGGTGGACTTCTGTTAAGCAGTAACCATAAAATTCAACTTTAAGCTCTAATTCTAGGTGTTTCAAGTACATTTATGTATCATATTTAAGCAACTGATACAGCATTTTGAATACTAAGCTGTGACAAAAATCTCTTGCCGCAACTTATTTTTTGCCCATTCTAATAACAAGCAGCTGAACTACTCAGTACTACTGCCACAACACAAATGGAACGTACCTATAAGGCTGCCAGTCTCATACACTTACAAGATATTTTAAATTCTGTATTCTGACATTATTAAAACTTCAAAGAACAGATTTTATCTATTGATACCACATTTATTATTTTCCTGAAGCCAGAATTATAAGTATTCCTGGTGGTTTGTTTTTCCAAGCCCAATCTCTGAACTTAAAATCAGGGTGGTGATCTGTTTCGTGTTGTGCATTCGTACGTTCAGCAAAGTTACTGCTCCAGCTCTGCATTCACAAATTGGGATTCTGATAGTTTGAAGAAAGCAGACCAAAAGTATTTGAGTGCTTCAGACCTTCCTCAACTATAAAGATAGGTACTACAATTCAGCATGTTAATGGGCAAGATAAAAAAAAGATATCAACATAAAGGGAGTCCTTCTGGATAAAACAAACTGGCAGCATTGGTTTCAATAAACAATAAAAAAATAACAAAAAACCCCACCTCTGTCATACAGATTTTAAAAGTTAGTTCTGATCTGCGCATAACTCACTGCCTTTAGAACTCAGAACAGAACTGGTAATTATTTAAAGAGGAAACTTTTTGGTATTGCTTGATTAGGAGAAAGTGGCAATAGAAAAGCAGAACTAGGAATTGTTTTGGTTATTCCTGAGCCTGAAACAAACAAATAAATTAGGGCTACTAATAGTTAATCTTTCCTCCAATTTGTTATACAAAAATAGAGTGCCCTTCAATATTATTCTAACTTCTACTCAACTTTTTGCTAGCATTTGAACTATCAAGTATCACACTGGAACGCTGGTTTCCACAGCATGAACTACATGGAAAAATAGCTTGGCCTTCTTGCCAACATACTATGCACTACCTAACATGAGAGCCCAAAAACAACAAATAAAACTTACTACACTGCAGTGTAAAGTGAACTCCCTTTTCTGTCAGTTTAAGCTGGAAAGCCAATGTAACAATATCGCAAAAATGGCAAAATATATAACACTGAACTGTAGGTTGGCTGTGAATTTTCTATTTATTGCCTGAATTTACTGTCTGAAGTCTTTTCAAAGGAACTGAAGTTCTCAGAATTTGCATATGGATGTCACTTCCAAATATTTTTAAAGTGTCTAATTATGTGAATATTAACTATTAGACATATCACATTAAAACTGGTTCATGTAGTTTTCCTCAAATGTCAAAATGGTAGTTTTTACCACTATTTAAGAGAAATGTCTGGGCAACAAGAATACTTTCTCGCTTTCACTGGAAGCAGTCTATGGTGACAAGAAGAGGTTTTGTCCATTTCTTTGGCTACAGGAAAAACTGGGCACCTTTGACATAACCACAGTAATTCCATTAATATGTTTTGGGGGTTGTTTGTTTTTACATATAACTTGATATTGAATTTAAGTTTTCAAGAATGACACTGATTACTATGTTCTCTGAATGTCAGAGCTGGGATGTGCTCCCACTGCTGAGATTGCAAATTAAAAGGAAAAATTGCATACAAAAGGCAGTAAAAACATCAGCATTTCACTTTCGTGTTACAAGGCAGAAACCAAATATAGGAAAGGATCTTTGTTCTTATGCTTTTTGGAGTTGAATATTACTCCACTGCAAAATAACAGAAAAATCTTTCACTATCCAAGTGCTGTTATTCAGGTCTGTATTATCAGAGAATATCAATCAAGACTTCTTCCAAACATCTTCTGTAACACTATTCTGATCACTCCTTCCTATTCAGACTTTTTAGATGAATGAAAAGAGAACCAACTAGTTGCCAGTACTCTTAACTCTCATTCAGAAAACTTCAAGACAGACAGCATTAAATAATGGCAGTCAGGAGTAGTCTATTTTTTGAAGGCAAATTGCCAATTTTTGTTTGTTTGTTTGTTTCTCTACACAGTGAAATTCCCTACTCTTCCTTTTGAAGCTACCTATATGGATTACAGTAGATGAGAAAACAATTTATCTTCTCAAACCTTTCAGTGGCCCCATGAGCAGATGTTGCTCGAGCCCGTTGAATTTCATCCTCCAAGCGTCTTTTCTCTTCCTCCAAACGTGCAATGTCTTCTGGGGATCGCCTTTGTTGACTGATGAGCTGCAACTCCTGAAGAAGAGCCTCCTTCTCTTTGATGAGCTGAAGACGGTCCCTGTCCGCTTCAGCCATTCCTGGCCAAGATTCATTGTCTAGCAAGGCCAGCTGCTGTTGTATATTTGAAACTCTTTAAAAGAGGATAAATATGTTTCAAAACACAGAAGAGACAAAGATGAAGACAGCTAAGAGGAAAAATACCAAGAGGTGAAGCCTGCTGACTTCTGGGATTTTTTTCTTCTAAATTTCAAAATAAGAAAATTTGGAAGGGGTTGAAAGGATTATTTTTTTTTCTGGCTTTTGGAGTGGTCTTCTTTTGTTTTGTATATTTTTAAACACTAAAGTACTGCAAGTACTCCTAAGTGTGTGCTGTAGAAAAACTACTGTGCATTTATTATCACATGGACATTATCTGTATTCACAGATTTCTCAATTTGTTATAAATCAATTAATATTTTAGAGCTCTTGAGTTTGCTGCCTGTACAGCTGATGAACATCCTTTCAATTCCTCGTTCTCCCACTATCAGATCTTAACTCGGAATTTCAAAAGTGCAGTGAGAAGTTGGAAGGGAATGAAGGGGAGATGCTTATCTAGTGACAACAAGGCCATATATTCACTTCCCACCTATTAGAGAAATGGTTCAAGGGGCTGAAAATATTAGGCAGTCCTGACTGACAACAAAATTTAAAGAATAAATAAGCTGTCAGTACAACAAAAACATAGGTCTGGAAAAAAAATATTTACTGATTACAAAACACAGCTGGCTTTAGATTGATCCATCATCAAATCAAGCAATTACATAAGCTAACTTGGGGGGGGTGGGTTTGCAGCAGGCTTTATAGTCAAAAGTAGCGTCCCCCATTCTCAATATGCTGAACAACTACTCAACAGTTGTAAGAATAATTCCACAGTTGACATTTTAAGAAAATGTTCTGCTAAAACTGAATTTTGAACTCTTATAAATACTACAAGGAACCCTAAAGCTAGAAATGTCACAAATGTTTCCTTTGGCAAAATCAATAGGTACATAAGCATAACAGGGAGAACACCCTCTTACTGATAGGTACTTATGCTTGTCTTACAATGGGCAATTTAGACACTTTGTTACAGTTAAAATGAAGAGTAAATAAGAGAAAAATCTAGCTTTCTGATTTGTAAACATTTGAAAGAACTGTACAACCTTTATGCAGTTGCACACCTCAGTTTCATCTTAAATTTGAAACAGTAGCATTCAAAGTTCAGTGCACCATAAAATATTATCACCCTTTAAATAAAAGCACATTTAAAACCAGCTATAAAAGTGGGATATGAATTCATTCTTCTGGTAAGTTAGTTGAAGTTGTTTGTTTTTTTTTCCAAGATATCCGGTAAGAAAGAAAAGATAACAAACAAAGCAAGGTAAAAGCACATAACAAGGAAATAGAAGATACACAGTGTAATAACATGTGTTTAAAAGACACAGACATGACACAGGTAAGGTTTTCTCCATCTGAAAACAAAACCTCATGCAATGTTTATTTCATGCTGACATCTGGAATGTATTTGGCCTTCTATTATCGGGGGAAGGGAAATAAAGTATCAATAGAAGTAATTTTGCAATGACAGCATTCATATATGAATAGGAATTTTATGTTGAATTTTGTCAAATATGGTTTTTCCTCCCCTTAGATTCATTTACAGCAAGTAAAGAACTTGGGTATTAAGTTACATTTTAGTCTAAAGGAGAATACTTTATTCAAGCTCTTCAATACCATTTCTTCCTCCTTGCATTAATAACCAACTTCCAGCCAATAGCTACTGAAAGCACCATTGTGAATTGATTACATATAGTCTACATATTTCATGCTTCAGCTATTGTGCATGAATTCCAGATGCAGCTTCCTGAAGAACACCTCGCCCCATTGACCAAATGTCTGGGCCAGGAAGGGCGAGCAGAGTCAGAACCCCTCCTCTCCCCCACCCCAGCTGCTATGCTGTTAAAGATTCAGTAAACACTCCTGAAGGCATATACAACTTGATTTTCAAGTGTTCAGTGCCAAATGAAACAAATGAGGACTCAGGTCCTTTCAACAGAATTACAGAATTCAGGTACAGTTGAGTTATCACAGCTTGATAAGCGAGCGTGAGATGAGCCCTGTCAATGTATTTGAGTGACCATGTTCATAAACTCTTACACAGCTTGTGGATGAAAGAAGGTAAGATGTATCTGGTGAAGCGTCTGGCTTGTTCTGTAAGATAGCTGAAAGACTGACCCTCTCCTTCATTTTAACACTCACAATTGTTTTGCTAGTTATTTTTCTAATGCAGGGTGAGCTGGTTAAGAAGCTCACCGTAACAGCAAATAAATTCTAATGCAGACAACAAGGAAGAGAGGAGTACCAGCAGGTAAGAGGGGAAGGTAAGGTCCCCCCTTTCAGCACTAGTTAACCACTGAATCTGCTTGGCTGTAGAGTATAACACATCCACAATACAAGAGGTTTTAATATGGACTCTTGAACTTGCTGAGAGCACGTAACTCACTTTGTGAATGACATTCCAGTTTAAAAGTTTAGGTTTTCCCCTCAATTTTTGTTATGATGATGCTTTAAAAGTAGGAAGTTGTAGTGTAGTAACTTAATTATACTGTTTTTAAAAGGAAAGGGACTGCTGTGGACAAGGTTTGCATCACTGAAGAGATCCAAAATCCAAAAATACCTATATTTACTTTGACTCCCTTGAAACTCTTAGCATTTCAGTTGGCACTTCTTGTCCCTACATTTTCCCTTTAAGGAAAGAAAAAGAATTTGAAAAACACTACATAATGCAAGAATCTTTTGGGAGAGGAACTTCAGCACCAATAAGCCAGTTTTCTGCAACCTGTATTACCGGCAAATGAACTGAAGTTTCTGGGGAATTTTGTTGCTCGCTTTCCAATGAGGACTCCCTCTGTATAGCAAGTTTTTCCAAAAAGCTACCAGTGATAAACTTTTTAAAACTGATCTTTTTGGCTAGAAAACATCCCTAAGGCTTTTGCAGTCTCACTTACTCAAACCTAAGAAAATACCTGAGAAGTCATGTTTAATTCTGATAAAAACATAATAAAAAATCCTCTTAAGCATGTTCCATAATTGCAATTCGTTTTCTCCCAACACAGGCTTTTCTTCCCAGTGACAATAAATGCATAAATAAGCAATTTCACTGTGTTTGTCCATACCAGATTTTGTACCTATACTACGCTAGCCATTCTCACTGCTAGTATGTTACAAAAAAGTGGCTGTTTGCTATTTTCAGATTCAGTGCACATATTCCCCTACCTTAAACACCCACTTAAATAAATCAGTTATTTGACATAAATTGCAATTTAAAGAAAAAAAAAAATTAGGATCCTTTATGAAGATTCTGGGTTTTAAACACATTTTTTCCTTCCTACTGGGTATTTAAGATACTACTTCTTCAGTATAAGTTACTGTAAAACAGTAATTTTTATCTGGCCTAATGCCAGATACTGAGGTTTCTACTGATATAGCAATTTAACATATTCCTGGGGAAAAAACAGTTAATTTTGAGCCATCAACATTCCAGGCATTTTGCCCATTCCCATCCTTGCATAACAAGTGCTGAGGAGCTTGCATTCCATACTCGAGTAGGTGGTATCAAATGACTGGTTTCCTAGGTAGGCAGACTGACTTGCTGCTTATTTCAGTATTTAAAAATTTCAAATGGAGATGAATATAACAGCTCCTGTTAAGCAGAAAAGCAGGAGGGGCACAGATGGGATGACAAAGGTTTAACCTGGTGATCTTAAGTAAACACTGATTCAAAATAGCAAACTTGCCCTGAAAGGCCATACCAGTGTAGCTAGAATGATGCCTAGCCCAAGATAATGTAGACAATAGCATGAGGGTGCAGATCAGTAAGCCAGTAGTTTACTACACAAACTACATCATGGGGGCAAAAACCCATGTATTTTCATAATTTACAGCATGTCTGAATCATTATATATCTACACAGACCCTCCCTAGACAAAGTAGGTCAACCCTTTCATCATTGAAAATATCTAGGGAACCTAAAATTTTAGTGACTAGAACCTTATTTTCAAGACTGCTATCTGATCTCAACACTAATGAAATTATACTACTGATCTCAAGAACATTTCCGTTTAGAAGAGGTTCTTTATTAAAATATACTATAAGAAGTGAGATTGAAGTAAAAATTACTTTTTGTGAAAGGGTTTGATTTACAATTACAGTTAAGACCACATTTAGAGCATTACTCAGATTATGAACGACAGGTGTCTTGGGGAGGGAAATACTCTGAAGCAATACAAAGGTCCTAACACATGCTCATAAAAGGGACAAATTATGGTTATCCCGCAGCTGGCACTTCCTAAGATACATACTCTCGTCTTTTCATCTTAAAAAAGTTCTTTGAACTTACTTCAAATTTTCCAAGGAAAACACCCAAATACTACCCTACATTTAAATGCCTAGACTTCTGGGTAACATATCAGACTAGTCTACAGCTAAGGCCTCTGTGACATGAGAAATGGGAAGATCAGTGGGGATAAAGAAAAAAATTCCAGTTATGATTTGGAGGAGAACGATGGCTTAAGGTCACACAAATATGCAGAGACAATCAACATAAATCAGCTCATCTTATTCCTTTCCTTAGGCTTACAACTGGACCCAGTTCTCCGCCATTTCAGGTGACAGGGAACTTCTCCCACGTGCAATATCCAAAGGAGGTTGTTGTGGGACTGAAGACACATAATGAAGGATGTTAGAACTTGGTGATTTCTTGTATTTACAGACCCTGTTGAGAGTGGATTATGATTTGTGTCCAAAAAGGGGAAGGCTAGGGAAAGGGGAAGAAAGAAATGGAAAGAACAAGAAGCTGGGGAACTCAGCCAAATGCTCACAAAATTTCTCCACTGTGTCTCCTTTGGCTGTTCCTGCAAGTATGTGCCACTGTGGCTTTGGCGGACAACACGAGTATGCTCTGTAGAATATCCAGCCTTCCAGGCAGCCTGATTCAATAACAAGGAGGTCTTAAATTGGCTTGAGACAGCCATTAAACCTTTAGAGTCCACTAGCATTTTGCATATAAAATTAGGCATTCACCTTTAGGAAAACTGCAAAGCTTGCTAAAACCAGTGGAAGAGAGGAATTAGTATTTTCCCCAATTCACAGGTAAACTGGTATAATGAAAACTTTAAAGACAGTTCAAGTGCATAGCTCATCTCCCTTCATAACCCAGAGAAAGTTTTAGATTTAAAAACTGACACTAGGAGATTCAGGTTTAACTGACATGCCCAAGCCAGATATTGATCTGGTATCAGACAAATTACTTCATCTCTAAATCAAATTTTCAGATTAATTTAGCAGAATAAAGCATACAAATCCACTGAAATTCACTAGAAATTAGGTAATTACACCTTGAAACCTGCCTACACAAGATAAATTTTAACAGGAAAATACTTGACTGTATTATTGTATCAGTACTGGAATGTTCATATCAATATCCAACCAACACATATTTTGTCAGTACAAGCACAAATTGCAGTAAGAATTCTGCTAGTGCTTTTAAAAGCCCAACTGAAAATTAATTTCAGTAATGAGATAAGATAGCAACAAGGTAACTATTCAGCAACTATACTGCAAAGAAAGAAGTAACATTCTTAAAGAGAACATAAGCATAGCTAAGGAGGCAGATTTTTCAAGGCTAAAATAAACCTGTTGACAACCACTGTATGATTTAAACAATTGAAAAAGTAACATCTTTGAATTCAAATTTACAGAACGAATACACAAGTTACTGCATTTGCACCCAAATTAGATAAACTGGTTGAAGATATATTACTTGGATATATTAGTTCCTTAAAATCAGCTACCATAAAACTGCATTATTAAAAAAAAAAAAAAAAAAAAAAAAAAAAAAAAAAGGTAAGAATTTTAGTGCTTCTTATTGGGGGGATCATTTTTAGTGCTTCTTATTGGGGGGATCATTTTTCAAATGTTGATTAATACACTTCAGAAATGACATCTCATTATAATTTGGTAATATACTTCATGTAGTCATTATTCTGAACTGCACAACTTAAAGAGTTATCAAAGAAAAACAATTTGCTTTTGATTTCTCTTTCTATGAATCAGTCTATTCAGAAAAGTGCTCGAGGGGTACACTTTCCAGTGTGCAAATGCTTTCATGAGAGGTGGTCTCACTGAAATAGCAAGTGAAACTAAAAACAGTATTTATCCAGGCAGCTTGGGGCTGTCTGTTCAAAAAGACCATCCTGCCTTCCTCCTGCTTCTCTGGAGGGCCACACTGACAGATCTGAGAGAAGAAATTTCATGGAAATAAGGTAAAATTTATTTTAAAATAACGGGGGGAAAGTGTAAAAAGCAGAAGATAAGTGAATGCACCTCTCTTCAGTATGACTGGCAAGTTAAAAAGTAGAATTTACACGCCTCCACTCAGAGCCTGGATCAGACACAGAAGACTTCTTCCCCAGCAACCTGACGATGTCAGAACCCACAACTCACAACATCTGAAATACTCATGGGAAAAATTAAATTGCAAATTATCCAACTTCCTTCCAGTGGGAAACTGAAGGAAAAAAAAAAGCAGCTATGCGAATGTCTTAATTTATGCAAAGGCCAAACCACTCAGTAGTTAGAAAGATTTTTAAAGGAGGAATTAAAATCAAATTATCTTTTATGAGGGAAGAGAGCTATTTTGGGAGTATAAGCCAACTTTTCTACAATCACTGGGTGTCATATCTGGAATTTCTCATGATAGTTCATTCAGAAATCCCAACACTGCATTTCTGTGCTCAGACACCATATACAGAGAACATACTTTTATTTTTAAAATCTTCTTTACTAAACATGGCAAATATTCTGCTCATATCTAGAGCTGTACGATCTACTGACTAAATTCACAGGAGTGACTAAAATGCAACATACTGCTTTTCAGTTTGTGGGGCTTTTTTCCTGCTTTCCTTTAAGGGAAGACATAATTTTCTCCTACAGTGTATTTTAAAAGTCTCCCATTAAAACTTGGAAATCAGACAGTTTGTCTGTTCTGCTTATATGCTATATGTTTCCACACCCTGTCTGACAAGCAAGTAGTCATAATATACAGCTTTACAGTTGTGACATACTGTAGCATTTTAATTTTCTACTTTGTAGATTTTAATCCATCCCAGCACATTCCGTCACCCACACTGTGCAGTAACAGTAGATATTTCGGCAGCCAAGGGAGAACGAACACAAAGATATTTAGTAGAGACAAAAGCCCTACAGAAATGCCAGCAAGCTAAGGGGAAGGAATGCATGATAAATGAAGAATGCAACCACAGAGATAACTGGTAGGGGCAATGAGCTTTGTGCAGTTCCACTCAAAAGCTGAAAGCTGATTACTTCCGTACAACATACTGGGCAGAATAAGGCTACTATTTTAAAGCAACTAACATGCTTTTGCTAAATAACAGACCATTGTCAGAGCTGCTATCCCGGGACAGCAAAACTACCCTTAACTGCAATTCTATTCTCTAGCTGGAAGATTAGTTACCCAGGTTTTCTACACTTAATTAACATCAAAATTCAGCTTACTTCTGATGTTCAGAAATACTACATTCCATGCATAAACAAATGTTTGGTATTTCCAGCTGAAAAATGCTTCTGCTACTGGGGAAAAAAAAAAAAAAAAATCCCACCACTCTATCCTTCCCAGCAGTAATATACAAGAATAGAATTGTTTTGAAAAACACATAGAAAAGGTATGACAGAAAACTGAACTAAAAGCATTTAACACAATCTTCACAGCACCAGTGGCTCTGCTAAACTAAACAATATAAAACTATGTTCTATCCTCCTCCTTTCCAACTGCCATGAACCCCTAAACTATCACTGGACTATTAAGTGCTAAGGGTTAAGCCTGTGAGCAAACAGGACACTGACAGGTTTTTGTTTTGCTAACCTTTATTAGGTAACAGTCACTGGTATTCACATGCATTATTTTACAATGCAGACCTTCGTTCCAGTTTCAAATCCTGAAGATTTAGCTATGTATCTCTAACATGCCTGCACCAATTAAAATTTTTAAGCCTGTATTGCATCCAAATGTGGGTGAATCTTCCAAGAACAACAAAATGGGGAATCGCCTTCCAATCCCTGCCAAGACATATACCAGTATTATGGTTTCCCCTGCAAAAAAGCCACCATAATGTGAAAAAAATGAGGCAAAAGTATTGAACTTTTTTAAACTCTTGTTCCGAGAGATGTAAAAAAAATGGCAAAACAAAGTTGAAAAGAAAAAAGAAAAATTCTAACTTAAAAAAAAATTAAAACCCTAAGGTTTAAGTTAACTATACAGAATCTTATGTGTCAATTTTAATAGAAGAATATTCTATCAGCACAAATTAAAATCATAAGTGCATAAAATTACTGTGTTCAAGCCATCATCTATACCTACACTGTTGTCCTGAATATGTGTAAGTAGTTTGAAAACAATGAGATTAAACGAGGACCCATTAAACTATACTCATAGATAGTATTTTAAAAATAGTATTAAATAAGAATAGATTATTTTTACAAAGCCATGAAGAAACACTGCAAGACAGACCTTCACAAAACAAATACTTACGATAAGCAATTAAGTCTAAAGGACTCGTGAAGAATTAATCTATTTCAAGAATTACTTTTAATTTTTTTTTATCAGATTTCCAACTCCAGCCCCACCCCCCCAACATTGATTTTTATGTACCCTTTTGTTCAGGTCTGAGCATCTGAACATCTTCATTTATTTCACAGGAAGTTCTTGCATTCTTTCCTCACACTCTGTTCATGACTTCAGCACACTGAACTTAGAACACAGTTATGCAAAGCTCTGAATGTACTGACAGACCAGACTGATAAGTGTAAATCTAAAGACTGTTTATATTGAGGTTTGAGAAGAGGGGGGGAAAAAATATAAACCAGTTCAAATAAACTACTGCAATTTTGTGTTTATACAAGTGTTAGAGACAGGACTCACATTTAGTTTTATCTCTGTAAACAAATATAATAATCTTATGATAAAGTCTTAGGTTTACCTAAGCTTTTATTATCTGTAAACTACTAAATAGTAAGTAAATTAGTCTTCCTAAAGACATTTCAGCTAGGAGGGTGGTTCCAGTTCTACTCTGAAAACTGTACTCAGGAGAGTAAAAATAAAACCCAACAAATTTATTTTTAATTACCTTTTCTTGGCCTCTTCATATTGCCAGTTCAGTCTAACTTTGTCTACAAGTCTTGTTTTGTCATCAAACCCAAACTTTTGTAGAGTTGAAGAACAAGGAGAGAGGGAAAAAAAAAACAAGAGGAAGAAATGAGATTTTAAAATCACTTCACAATAAAGAGGTAAATTAGTCTCACTTACTGGACTCACTAAAAAACTTCAGTGCTTTAAGAACATAAGAAAAATCAATTTTATGCTTTAGAAATACAAAACTGGTTTATTGCTAGAAGTATAGACCATAAATAAGGTCTTTCAATAAATTATAATCCTGGAAATCAAGGGTTAGCAAACAGAATCGTTGATGAATGGTCAAAGCTTTTCATCTTTGTCCAAGCCTAACACACAAAGAGTATTTTTAACTGAAATATTTTACTACTTGATACAGCTATTTTATGGATAGTTTAAGTAGAAGTAGTTCAGATACCATTCCCTGTACTGTGATGTGTTCCCCAACACTTTAATCATTAGTGCATTTTAAACACTATTACAAAAACATCACCTGATCCTTGAACCAGTTGTAGAACGTGCATTTATGCTACAACTCCTACTGTATACAGCCCAGCTTCTACAGCAACTTCTCTCCATCTTGAGGCATCAGCAGTTCCCTTCTTCAGAAATCTGTGTACAGTCTAATATTTAAAACCCAAGTCAACCTATTTAAATGCATTGCTGCACATCTGGATTTCTCATCTAACTGCTGCTTTTGCTCTCTTCATCATCACATGTGTAAAAAAAATCCATCTCTTTTTTACTCACATTCCACCACTAGTAATTCAGAAAAACAATTAACAAAATTGTATAATTTTGTTTTCCTAACAAAAAAACTACACTCGGGAAACACAATTTTCAGACTGTACTTGGCTTGGATGGCACTCAAGGTGTATTGTGTGAATGGGAAAATCCTATGTTCTTCCTTGCAATTTGTTTTGGAATTCAATAATCATATCCACCACCAGCCCCAAAAAAATGACCTGCCAAAGGTACCATCTACCTAATGCACTGAAAGACAGCCTAGTGTTAGCTAAGTTTTCTTAGATGCTTTATAAGTCTACCTCCTTAAAAAGACAGATTTCCTCTAAAAGACAGATTTCCTCTCCTGTAGAGACATCTAACTTGGCAACTATTAGCAGTGAAAGAATACAACAGAGGAGAAATGGGATGATAAAAGCCTACGCTTAGAGTGACATTGTTCAATAAAAACTTCTAACCAAATGTGGAGTAACATCCAAACTATAGTACTAATAAACTACAAACAGGTTGTCATCTTGCTTTCTCATCACTCTCATCCACAGAAGCTAATGTTTTACTGCTCAAGAACAGCTAGGCTGCCATAGTACTAGCACAGGCCAAATTTTTATTATTTGGAATACATAATTTCATTCACACAGAACTATTCCCAAGGAGTGTTAGTATGTTCTCAAATACCCTATTTGAATATGAAGGTATGACAGACTAGATCGGTTTTGTTAGTTTTAAAGAAAAACATTTTGAGACTAACAAATACTTCTGTTGTCTCAGACAGAAGAAAGGAACAGAAGTCTACCCTACATCTTTGATGTATATAAACAATGATGACAAGCATGATAAAACCGAGATTTTAATTTTTTTTTAATAATTACTACTATCAGAATATTAACATCTCACATTATGGCACAATCAGATCTCTACTGCAACTTCAAGCTGGCTAAAGTGTTTTCCTCATTCCTGCTTCATTACAAGTATCAGTAAATCAGAGCTGGTGACATAAAGAGGTCCATAGACACCTCTGCAAGAGCTGTTATTCAGAGATGAACCTGCAGACACCAAAGTGGTGACACAAGAAGTGCTCTGCCAGGCTGGCTGAGTCTGGGAGCTGATTTTAGCTGTCACTGACCTGCAAGCCCGTTGCTACACCCCTGTGCCATGCTCAAGTAGCAGAACCGCAATGCCCAGCACACATGAGCACTGCTCACACACTCTGGAAACGATAAGCAAACGCAACTCCCTTGCCACCAATATTGCTTTGGGGTTTTTGTTCTGCTATAGCCAACACCTCTTAAATCAAAACAGGAAATAACGATGTATCACTATCATACAAAAGCAGCTTATTCTCTACAGCAAATGTCTCGAATAGGAACACATACCTCTCCAGTGATGTCAGTCTGAGAACAAGCATCACAGTGTTGTTGAGGTAAACAGGAGTCACTGAGAGAACCAGAATTGTGCTGGAGATCCTGCAGGGAATCTGTAATACAGCAGCTATTCCTGAATCCATCTGTTAACTTGGCCAGGCTCTATAGGAGAAGAGATTTTAAAACTGATTTTTATAATTATTAATAGAAATCAAAGAAAAATTATATTTTATAAATATGACAGGTAGGTTGCCTATAAATAGGTATTTACAGAAAGTAAAATTTGTTAGTGTTACTAACATGCAGAAGCTTTGCATTGAAATAAATCTCTCTTTTAAAAAAGATGTATCTAACATTAAAGAAATTTTAAATTATTTGTTTTAAATCTATGAATGTTTTAGCTTTTGTATCGTTTATAGATGTTTAAATCTATCAGCTGTCATCTTTCAGGGTAGCTGATATGGAAGACAAATGTGATTCACCTGCCCTTTTGCCATCTTCTGTGCAGGTTACATTCCTTAGCTGATACTACTATCACATCCAACTTGATGAATACCTTTTATTGATTGTAGTTTTATGACAGTTGATTTCACCCTTGTGCTCTCTTACCCAAGGTTCACATAGTTAAGAGATATGTTATAATTTGAGTTAGGCATGGGACATCTCTGAGATGTCTAGACAAGGAGACAAACTGAAGGTAAAGCAGAGACCTCAAGCAATCTTTAAGGGGAAAGGGGAGTAAGAATCACACAAATTAATAACTCATTTGATAGTACAAGCTTGGTTGGCAGGCTCTTAAATTTCCTTTAAAAAAAGGGAAAATTGTTAATATCACTTATTTTCTGATTGTACATTCTCTCTTTTTCAAAAATTACAGATAACATTAGTATCAATAACAAAATCACTGTGAAGGCTATCATTTATAACAGAGACCCTAAGTATTATGTATCAAAAGAACATTAAAAAAAGACATTAAAAGAATTCAATTCTGTCCCCTCACCAGAAGATAAAGATCAAATTATATGAAAAAAATCATAAATTTGAAGAGCAATATCAATTTATAAGTCATAACATAAACTATTTGGTTCTAAAAATATACATAAAAACTCTAAAACCTGCTACTCCAGTGTCTAAACTACCGAATCAGACAAATCTGAAGCACCGCATTGGGCAAAGGCTGGCCGGCCCTCAGGAATCTCAGTGACTCTCGACAACTGGTGATTTGCAACAAGCCCTCGTTACTGTCTATTTCCAATTACCAGGAGATTTTTCAGTCTTCAAAGTGCAGTTTAAAAGGGATAATATACAAATGCTGCCTTTTCTTACAACAAATTCAACTAATGGAGTCAGGAAGCAAACCTATGCAACAGCAACTGGTTGCTGCTCACAGGAACAGCAAGGCTACCTTGAAGACAAAGGCGTCCAGTTTTGGAGCCTAGAAAGCATCCCTTGCAGCAGGCCTGAAACTAGCCAGAAAAAGCAGCTTTTTCTAAGTGTCCTCCAGTTCTGTCATACATGGTCCATCCCTTTGTTCTCATTATATACCAGTCTCTCCCTCAGACCTATGTCCACTAGAGATGAAAAAGAGGGAAAATACCCAGCGTGGTGCAGGACAAACAAATGAGTGAGCTCCCTTTTCATAAGAGTGAGGGGCCTGTGCTCCTCCAGATCACAGAGTAATGCCAGACCCGCCATCAGCAGGACAAGGCTACTACTGCTTGCCTCCAAAAGCTCAAATTTTCTTGGGTTCCCCCAAAAAGCCAATTTTTCTGCCACCTCTGAATTGAACTGTGCCATGTTAGTATGAAAGATAAACAAAATAGTTTCTTCTCATCCCTGAGACAGCAAAAATCAATTTTAAGTTACACTGCTGAGAAGTCCCTAGATAGTGTCCCTTTACCCTCCAAAGTGAACTGCTCCACGGCATGGCAAAAAGAAAACCAGAGTGTCTTCCACTTCTTGCAATTGAAAATTGCAGACTCCTGTCTAATTCTTTTCTTCAAAAATCACTGGAAATCATCCAGTCCTGTCTGACTCCCACTGTATGGAGGATCAAGATGGATCCCTAATGTGTTAGGAAATGGTTAGGAAATAGGATAGTAATTTCAAATCATAGCTACACAAACATCAAATCACCTAACATGTCCTCTTTCCAGCAAATCAGAGACGGTTACAATCTTCATAAACTGCTAAGAGTAATATCCTCCCCAGCTATATGGAGGAATCCATCTTTCATCTGGGGTTTATGGACTGTTTATGGCAATCCCACAGAAACTGCCAGACCAGCCTATCATATGGATGTGAAGTTGTAGGCACAGCAGTCCAGACCTATCCAGAAAGAGAGAAATGAGCACTGTCATTTCAGCATTGTCTGCTGCTATTTGGTTTGGGAGCTCTCTGCTACATACAATTTCAGTGCAGTTCCTACCTAACCTATTTATTGGAAAGGAATTAAGGGGAAGAAAGGAAAGAAGGGGAAGGGGAAGAAAGGAAAGAAAAACCCCACAAAACCCAAACTCCAATACTTCCTAAGGATGAAGGACAACACTTTAAAAGCATAGAATCAGAGAGTCACTCAGGTTGGAAAAGACCCTTGGGATCATTGAGTCCAACCATCAGTCCTACTCTGCAAAGTTCCCCTCTACACCATATCCCCAAACATCTCATCTCATATGCACATGCTGGAACAGAAACAAAAGTATGAACGGGATGGAGGGCTGTCAGGAGAGAGACACACACACACACTGCTTTCAGGAACCTAACCATGCACCTTGATTACTCAATCTTACATAAAAAAGTTCACCCACTTTTTTGGAGCAGTGACACTGCATATTTGGCTTTATTTGTAACCACAGCACCCAGCTTAATTCTGACCACCCTTTCTCTCCCTCACCAGCCTTCTCTCCCACACAACTCAATTTAATTACTGTATTTCTATGACAGCTACAATTTTCCAAGCACCTACACAAGACTGAGTCACTTCTACTATGTTTAGTTCTGTTGCTTACATTGGCCAGTTTTAAATTAAGAAATAGTAAGAAATTGTCTGTTTCCTTTCTCTGAAATAAATCCCCATCTGTTTACACAATACTTTGGATTCCTCTATAAACAGCTTTAAAAACAAATTTTTTAATCAGAAAGCTTGTCTTACCAACAATAGCTTTAAAATGTAGCATTTTAAAGGACAAAACAGTATCAAAACTGATAGGAAATTAAAAACCAAATTCTGAACAAGGAAGATACTTAAAATAGACTTGTACTTCCTTGACAAAGCTAAATAAATCCCTAACAGTAATTTTCAACTGATCATAAGAAGGCAAAGCACAGAAAAGTTTGGTGACAACAAAAATAAATTTTTTTGGGTCAAAATTTAAAAAAATATCAAGCACAATTAAGTTGGCAGAAATAGCACAATTTTTACACCCATAGATCTTGTAAACTGTAGCATTTAATCCCTTATTACAATTGAAACAAAACATGCAGAACTCTTTTGCTCACTAGGCTTGTGTGGAACAACTATTTTCTAGATTCTCTCAGATTATATGTCTATTACTGGATGCTATCGCAACAGATTGTCATTAATTACAAAAATGATACCTCCTAGACTGAGAGTTCCTGTATGTAATGTAGACCTATGAAGAAGGATGGTAACACTTTATTTTTGCTTCTCTCTTGTGCAACCTTTACATTCTGGTGTTGTCAGCATTGCCCAACCCTTCATAAGCTTGATCTTAGACTTCTAACTCTCTCAACAGTGTATTTAAAGAAACTGCAAGTGCACTTAAATTTGGTTTAACAGATACGATTTTTAAAACATCTCAGTGTTTACAGCTAGATTTAGTGCTACTGAGGACTGAAAATGTAAGGAAAAGGAGGGGAGAGAGTCTAGTAGGGAAGCCAAAAACAAGGCCAGTAGTTAAGCTGCACCAAGATCTCACACACAAGTCTTTAAATTAACAGTTAATTTCCTAAAACGTGCGTCACTGCATCCATGAAGAACTGCCTTTCAAATCGTTTCTTGCTAGCCAGGCATGTGGAAGACTGAGAATCACTTTAAAACTTGGCCAACACAAAATATCAAATATGTTAAAAGTTGCCAAGGCAGAAACTTTTCGTAGCAACTTAAGCATTCTGTCTACTTGAACAAGGATTTGTGGTCCATCAGCTGACCTTTGGGTAATGCTTTGGAGACTGAATAATTGTATAACTACGGAAATTCATTATATGTAGATTACAAGCTACCCATATAATTTACCAATTAAAAAAAAAACCAAACCAGTGAAACATTACTGCAGAGAAAACTGAAAGAAGTAGTTTGAATGGCAATAGTAATTTAGTAGAGTCCCAAAAATCCAGGTAACAAAGATGCCTTTTTCCATATAGCAGTTTGAAGATTGGGTGAAGAGAATCATTGTTGTCACCTCTCTGTAAGTGCAGCCTATTTGGACAAGTCTATACTGAAGTCCCTGTGGTGGCAGAGGCTTGTGGCTCTTTGATCAAGCTCCCATCACGTTAATAAAGCAGACACGGCAACTGAGAGCTTGGGGCAGGATGCAGCATCCATTCAAAAGTTAGATCATTACTCAGGTACGTATCTCCCCTCAATCCTCATGCTCGGATTCATAAAAGAGTTTAAAACTTGCATGATGGTTTCTGTATACATTGTATTTAATCATAGTCTTGGAGGGGTTTGTGAGAACACATGAAATTAACTTGTGTCCTGATACAGGTACTTAGGAGAGTTTGGAGCAAAAGAAGAACTACCAATCTGTGCCATAGTGACACAGAGATCCAGTTTTGTGAAATGCTTATGAAAGGAAAAACATGGTAGACATGGTAAACATTTTTGCACATGAATTCTCAGTCCTACTTCATTATAGGTAATAAAGACACATTAAACAAAATGAAAAACAAATACCAAAGACTTTTTTTTAAAATGCAGCACAATTACTCCATAGCAGTCTTTGATATAGCCAGCAGCAATGGAAAGCTATAATTCAATAGAAATTGATCTAAATGTAAGGGCAGAACATAAAGACAAAAATAGGAAATGCATATAAAGTCTTGTGTTCACAGCTTACACAAAGACTACTTACCTCTTTTTGAGCTGACTGCTATTAGCAATTATCAAACAGAAAAATCAGTTTAGGCCATGCCACATCCTTATATAAACTTGGTAATTCCAATGCAATCACAAACACAAAAATAGAGGTAGGTTATTAATTTGTAGCGGCTATTTGTTCAGTAGCGTATTTTTTACCTGCATAAGGTCCTGCCTTTCTTTTTCACCTGTGCATATAGCTTTCTTTATGGTTCGAAGCTCACTCATTATAGCTTGTGCTTCATCCAGTCTGTAATTTGTGTGAGCACTTGACATCTTACGATCAATCCTGTTGAAAAGATTAAGACAAATTCAGGAATTTTAACATAACTAGAAAGTGCATAGAGAAGTTTTAAGACTTCTTGATTATTCATATACCACTATTTCCAGGAATAAATGATATTACACTTGGAATTAACAATGCATTCAGTGCCAAGTACACTCTAAAGACAAAGCAATGTGATTATCCAGGTTCTGCGGAACCAACAACATTCTTGGTTTTAGTATCCTAATACAGAACTTACTTACAGGCAATGTCTGTGGGCTATTTCACACAACAAAAGTTAAACCCAACCTAAAACTAACCTACATAGTAGTAACTCAGAGACAAAGATATTTGCTCTCACATTTTCCATGCAGCACTACACATTGCAACATCTCTTCCAGGGCTTCTAAAATTTATATTGCAAATGTTTTCCTGCCATTATGGACATCTTTGAGTATCTTTTCTAGAAGACATCATCATCCCAGACTAAGGAACATCACATGGGACCATCCCAGATGATTTCAAATGCAAACTCAGCAAGAAGCAAGAGTCACTCACTATATCAGGTTGAAATACTCCTAATGTTTCCATCTTGACATAGAAGTCTCTTAACTGGGACATCCACTGTCTGAGTTTTCAATTTTTTTTTTCCAACAGTTCACAATAGTAAAGGACAACAGATCAGGATGTAGAAGCCTAGTCCAGTGTATTATCTGGATAATTTGCTTTGATTTACAGATAAAGAACAAGACCAGAGACCTGCAGAAGTTGCTAGAAGAACCATTTGGTCTCGAATTTATAAAAAAATGGCTATGGGATTTTAACAGGTTACCTACAGCAATTAGTAAAAATTGTGTTAAATTCCTGTTTAAATATGAAAACCTCAGTTTACCTGTTAATCTACTATAGAAAGTGTGTATATAGAAGAAAGGTGATATGAGTAATGGCCCCATAGCCAATGCTAAGAATGAACATCTCCAGGAAAAGGCGCCTCTGGTTAACAGAATTAAAGATAAAACATATGTTGGTCATTACACAGGATACCAGTTTGTAAGAAGTTGTAGTACGAGCAGGTATGTTATACATATATGACAAGAATACTCAAACTCTTATCAACATTCACTCAGCATGTTCTGCCTGTTAAAAATCAGTGAAATTCCAGTTGCTTTAAAATTAAAATATTAAAATTAAAAATCAAAAGGCTTGAATGAAAATCCTGTCATTGACTGTGTAGTTCACAATATTTAGGAAAAAAATGCAGGCTGGGTTTCTATGGTTTTGGTTTGCTTGGGTTCTTTTCTGACAGTTCCTGCTTTTGGAGACAACACAAAACAAGTTTGAACCTCAAACTTTCTACTTAAGTACAATTTTCCCCATGTTGCATTAAAAAATATGTAAGCCTTTATGATTTTTGGTTCAAGAATAAGAAATTACTTAAATGTCACGCTGATTAAAGGTGGGGTTTTGTGTTTGCTTGGTTTTGTTTTCCTTTTAAGATGTTTACTTGAGTCTTCACTAATTTTTAGTTAAAATCCTGAAAAAATTAGATAAAACCATGGTAAAACAACTAATCCAATTCACTGAAAGTTACATGAAAAAGATAACATATGGTTTCATCTGAAGGTTACCTTAATATTAAGAACATAAATTCCACAGAAATATTAGACCCGAAAATGCCTCCTACACAACTGCTTATTATACTGTTTGCCAGGTCCAATGTGACATTTCAGGAAAAGGAAATTATTTAATTTCAACCAGATTTTTGTCCAGTTACCCACATACTCATGTTCCTGGACGTCACTTTGGAGCCCAACTTATGAACTGATATTTATTTAAGGAAAGAATCAGAAAAGTTCCTCTGTCAGAAATATTTGAGCTTAAATCAGTATTGTTGTCAACCCAAACAAACTTAAGTATCTTACAAAATTACTAGTTATTTATTGTCTGTTATATTTTTTTTCCTCCATTCATAAAACTCTATCTTTGAAAGCCACAAAGTTAACAGGAAACTTCCATTTTATTAAAGGAAAATAGCATGATACAAATACAGATTAGACATTTGCATAAACAGAAAAAACACTCAACTAAAACACAAAACTATGAATAAAGTATACATTTTTTGAGGAAGATGTTTCTAGGATTCACAAACTATTAATAGTTTTAGTCCTATAGGGTAGTTTCCAAGTGCCTCTATTTTCCTTCACATGCTTTCAAATGTGTAAGACTCCCCCCATCCTCACCAAAGCACAAGTCTGCAGTAGAGTTAAAAACCTGACTTTAAAACTTTTGTCAGGTCTCATATCCTCTAAACTAGCTACAAATTGTTTAGTCAGTCCTAATTCCCTATCTCTCCCAACCTCTCTCAGCATTCGCTCCACTCTCGCAGCCAACTGGCCAAGTCTTCATTTCCCTTGTTACTAAATGCTTTCTTCCTCCAAAACTCTTGCCAGCAAGCGGAAGGGTCACTGAAAACACAGGGGCAGAGGAACTGCTCCTTCTCAGTCCCTGTCAACAGGTCAGAGGAAGAAGTTTTTTTCCAGGAAAGGCTCCTTTTTAACCCTATACATTATCTGGACTGTGAGGGTATCAGCTGCACCTCAGGGCAAAGGCGCCTGTGGAAGCTGAGGAACACCATCATGCAGGGTGGGGTCTTCGCATGCTTTAAACAGTGAGCTCTAGAAAAATCGCCAAGTGGGCAAAGGCAGACTGTAATGTCCAAAGGCTTATCCACAACTTGATAATGAAACACAACTTTGAATGAAACTGTAGAAGATACAGCCCTAAAAGAGCTGCAACACTACAAAGTTTGAAATTCTGACTGTATTGGAGTTGTAAAGGAATTTAAAAAGACCCTAAATCCTCTCTCTCCCCACAAATGCTCAGTTTTCTCTGGTTGTTTTGTGGGTTCACTTGGGATTTTTTTTATTCTCCTCAAAGATGGCTAAGACATTTCACTAAAATTAAGAACAGAAAATAAAATATGGTCCAAGGCAGACACTGTATGTGGAAAACATCAGTGCAAGACATTTGCATTTAACAAACACATCTGAATCAGACAGCAACATAAAATGATGGAAATACCGAGCAACCTAACCACTTTCACCATAAAATCTGCCTCTTCTCCGAGTGTTATATGCAGCAGAGGTTGCACAGGGAGTCACATGGCAGCAGGTTCTGATACCTGCTCATAATGCCATTGTGGTCAGACTTTCAAAGCAAACGTTCAGCCAGATGTAAAGCCCAAAGTGTAACAGCTCCTAATATTGTTCTTGGCTTATACTTGAAATAAAACAAAGAACATGGCTTTAAAACAGCTGAATAGGATGCATGCCATTCTCAGTTGGCAGTTATTTGAAGATTTGACCTAGCACAAGAAAGAAGAAAAATTACACAGGTCAAAAATCTAGAAAAAGTAACAAAAGAGGGAAACGTCTGAGATGTAAGAAACATGGGGAAAAAAAAAAGGGGGGGGGGGGGGGGAGACACCACTTCTTCTGCATATCACTGAGATAATGCAACAGAAGTTGATTTGTTGTTATTGCTGTTGGAAAGATAATGGGATACATCTTTTTGATCACAGTAACATTTTCTTCTGTCTTTAACTTGCTCTCAGAGAAGAGATGCAACACCTCAAATTCCTTTTGCATGTTTTGTACATGGATTGTACGGTTTCAGAAATCCATGTTGGAGCCTTTCATAAGCAGTAGTAATTAAGTTTCTCAAGGAAATTTTTTTCTAGGTTAATAATTTTTTGCAC